AGGTTGGTGGTGGCAATAGCAGAGGTAACTTGAGATAATAGTTAAGGTGCCTCAAAATGGAAGCAATGTCTTACAAAGATGGGGCTGCAAGACTGGGCCTCACACTCCCTTCAGGATGCCTGCTGTGAGATGCAGCTGCTTGTAGGCCCTGTCTGTTTTCAAAAAGTTTGGGGCTACTGGATGGAGAAGGCTTTGGCGATGACTGCAGTATTCCAAGATGGAAGTGGGTTAGGCTTCGGCTCCTAGGTGTGTGGGAGGTGAACTGGGACCTACTCTGGACCTGGGTCCTGTGTAAGTCAGTGTGGACAGATCTGGGCCAGGCCTGACTCCCGAAGGGGCAGTCCTGTGCCAGAGGCTAGGCTCTGGCAGGTGTCTGCCCTGCTGGTGGAGTGGTGGATCAGGGCCTACTGTTTACCTGGATCTCCCGTGGGCTAGTGTCCAGTTTTATCTTTATATATTGTTGAATTTAATTTGCTATATTTTAAGAATTTTTATGCCTCTGTTCATATGTGATTTATTGGTCTATTGTTCACTTGGAATATTTTTGGCCTCATGGAATACAGACCTTGTGCGTCAGGCAGTCTTTATGTCTCTTCAATATGTTGGAATGAATTTGGTGTTATTTCCTTTTACACATGTGTCAGAATTCCCTATTGAAGCCAGCTCTTCCTGGGAAATTTTATTTTGCTTTGTGGGTGTATCTGGCAGGTGACTTCATCATTGTTTTGGGCCTGAGGCGAGGCACAACATCATGGTAGAAGGGTATAGTAGAGGAAAGCTGCTCACCTCATTACAGCTGGGAAACAAAGAGGATTGGGTAGAATATAAGATATAGTTCTCACTCTCTCCAACTAGGTTCCACCTCACATAGTTTCTACCACTTCTCAATAGTCCATTCAATTTCAAATACCCCAGTGGATTAAATTACTGATGTAATCAGAGCCCTCATGATCCAATCACTTCCCCAAATTTCCACCTCCACTTCAAGCATTGCTGCATTGGGAACTAAGCCTTCTACATATGAGCCTTTGAGGGACATTCCAAATCCAGTTTTAACAGTGGAGAGTATTTTTAAGTATAAGTTCACATTCTTTAATAGATTTAGGGCTATGCAGGTTATCTATTTCTTTTTAAGTGAGTTTGGGCAGTATCTTGTATCTTTCAAGGAACTTTTTCATTTCATGTGTTTTCCTGTTTATTGGTATTTTAATAATATTCTGCTATCCATTTAATATCTGTAGAGTATATTATGATATTATTCCTTTCTTCTTGATGTTGGTCAATGTATGCCTTCAATAAATTTTTTTTGATTAGTTTTGTTATAGATTTATTGATTTTTTATAGAATGTTTAAAAGAGTCTTTTGTTTATTTAATTGTTTTTCTCTGTTTTTTTTTTTTTTTTTTTTTGGTACTGGGGATTGAACCAAGGGCACTTGACTATTGAGATACATCCCCAGTCCTTTTATTTTAGATTTTGAGAATGGTTCTTGCTAATTTGCATAGGGCTTCACTAATTTGCTGAAGCTGCCCTTCTGAGCTGCGGGAATTACAGGTGTGAACCACCATGCCTGGCTCCTGTTTTCCATTTCTTAATTTCTACTCTGGTACTTATTATACTTTTTCTTAATTTTGTTTAACCGGGATTAATTCTTTTTCTGTTCTTAAAGTGGGAGCTAAGGTTACTGATTTAAGATGTTTCTTCTGATCTAATATTTGTCATTGTCGTTTTAGGTACTGCTTTAGGTACATCTAAAGAGTTTTTATAAAAAAATTTAGTTGTACATGGGCACAATATTTTTATTGTTTATTTATTTGTTTTTATGTGGTGCTGAGGATTGAATCTCACATGTGCTAGGCTCTACCACTAAGGTGCAACCCCAGCCCTAAAAAGTTTTGATATATTGTATTTACTTTCTTTTAGTTCAAAATATTTTTTATTTTTCTTTTTGATATCTTCTTTGACTTATGTTTAGTTTTCAATATTGATGATTTCTAATTAGTTACTGATTTCTAATTTAATTCCCCTGGAGTCAGAATATATATTTTATGTGATTTTAATGATTTTAAATATATTGGGACTTGTTTTATGATCTATAAGATGCTATATTTTGGTAAATGTCCTGAGTTTTTTTGAAAGAATGTATATTCTGCTGTTATTGGTACAGTGTTTGTTTTAGTCAGCTTTTTCACTGCTGTGATTAAAGGTTCAGACCAGAACAATTTTAGAGGAGGAAAAGTTCATTTGATGGCTCATAGTTTCAGAGGTTTTAGTCCATAGAAGGCCCTCTCCATTCCTTGGGGTACAAGGTGAGGTGGAACATCATGGTGGCATTGTGGCAGAGGGAAGTAGCTCACATGGTGATCAGAAAGCAGACTCCACTCACCAGATACAAAATATATATCCCATATTCATGCCCCTAATGAACCACTTCCTCCAGCCATACCCCACCTGCCTCCAGTTACCACTCAGTTAATCCCATCTGGATCAATTCACTGATTAGGTTAAGGCTACGACCCAATCATTTCTCCTCCAAACCTTCTTGCATTGTCTCATACGTGAGCTTTCTGGGGGACAACATATCTAAACTGTACAGTGTTGAATACATTTTAGTTAGATCAAATTGGTTGATAGTATTTATTCAAGCCTTATATTCCATTGTTGATTTTTCTGTTTACTTGTTTTATCAATTATTGAGAGAGGAGATATTTAAATCTTAGAAAATATGTGGATATTGGCAGTTTATCAGTTTGATTCATATATGTGTGTGTGTGTGTGTGTATACACACACACACACACAAATATACATATATATATATTTTTTTCTTTCTTTCTTTTTTTTTTTTTTTGGATACCAGGGATGGAACCCAAGGGTGCTTAAGCACTGGGCCATATCCCCAGATGTTGATGTAGATGGCACAATATCTTTTATTTATTTATGTGGTGCTGAGGATTGAACCCAGTGCCTCACGCAGGTGAGACAAGTTCTCTACCACTGAGCCACAACCCCAGCCCCCCCAGCTCTTTTTAATATTTTATTTAGAGACAAGAGTTTTGCTGAGTTGCTTTGGGCTTCTCAAGTTGTAAAGGTTGGCTTTGAACTTGCATCCTTCTGCCTTAGCCTACCAAGCCATGAGGATTACAGGTGTGGGCTACCATGCCTGCATGAGTCATTGTTTTGAAGTTTTACTGTATGCCAAAAATATTTGGATTATTTTATTGTTTTAATATTTTTGCCCATTTATGAAATGATCCTCTATACCCACATGTAATAGCTTTGCTCTGAATCTAGTTTGTCTAACATTAATAAAATTATTCTGCTTTTTTCCTCCTTCCCTTCATTGCTCCCTACTTTACTCTCTCCCTCCCTCCTTTGGCCCTTGCCTATGCTAACTAAACACTCCACCACTAAACTACACTCTCTGTCCAGCCATTCAGCTTTGTTTTGATTCCTGTTTGTTTTTTCTATGCTTTTACATTTTAACTATTTACATTTTAATAATACATGCTAGTATTGTGTTCTAGTACTTCACTATGAGCTTTGTAGATATTGATTCATTTGTTCCTGAAAACAACACTATAAGGTAATAATATAATTTGTAATTATTATCTCCATTTTGCAAATGAGGAACTGAGTTTCAGAGAGGGTTAGTTCTTTATTCCTGGGCTACTTCCAACAAGTAACTGGGACAGATTTTGAACTCAGGTAGTGTAATTTGAAAACCGTATTTCTAATTACTGTATACTTTCATAGCCTTCTAGAAATCCTTAATTTTATTATTATGTCAGATAGTAAAAATTTAATGTCTCCAAAATAAGAGTCATTGTTTCCTCCTTCATTGTCCTGTTACCAGAAAATCTGATTCTTTTTTTTCCATTTCACATCTTAGCTAATATTTTTCTTTTCCTTTTGGTCAACAAAGGCTGAAGTCTGAGTCATTTTGGACTATTGCTCCCTGAAACCTCTTGTCTTCTTCTTTTTTTAAATTGAGTCTTAACAGTCTACTCATTCTCATTGTTGTATCTTAGTTTAATTCTCTCATGATTTCTTATTTGGGATAGCTATTCATTCACTTCTCAGAGTTGGGCTTGTGTGCTTTCTGGCCCTTTAATTATCTTAGTACTTTTTAGTTATTAGTTTAATGTCTGTCTTCTCCATCAGACTATAGTCTTATAAAGAAGGACTTTGAGCTATAATTTTATGCTCTCAGTGCCTATCTTAATATGTGACCAACAATTGATGTGCAATAAATATTTTGTGAATTTTTGTCATTTGATAGTATCTTTGATAATTTTAGTATCATAAACATTAGTCAAATTTTGTCTGCTTTAGAGAAGTATCTTTTAATGCCTTGTTTTTCCAAAAGCTAAAAATAATTTCTTTAATTATAGTGACCAAGGATAAAATGGAATCTTTTATATAGTTACATGCTATCTCCAGAATATATCATATAGCAGAATCAATGATAACTGCAAAATTGATGGGATCATCTTATGGTTTATAATAGTCCATATCTTCAGTTTTATTTTTAAGTGTGAAATATTGAATATATTTTCTTAGTAGCAGTAGAACAGCAAAAAGAGTTTATATTCTTCCCATAATGCAAAAATATGTTATAACTTACATAAATCAGAATGAGTATGTTAATGAGGAGGAGGCAGATGTCATAAATCTTTATTCATTGTAGAGATTATAGTATCTGAACATAATATATGAATAATGATAGAAAGTAATAGAATTTTTGTATCCAAACTTCAATGCATGGCAGTGAGCACACATTCACTAATAATTTCCAGAATAGTTATATTTCCTATTAATTTCCCTGAATCAAACAAATGAAGTTATTTTGAGAAGAAACATGAAATATGACAATCATTTTCTACGTGACTAAAATTTTCATGTACAACATGATGCTGACTGTGAAACTATCAGGCTTCTTTTTGTTTTTCAAAGCACGATTCTGATTAACTGTTAACTCTGCGCTTGTGCTTTATTTGCAGCATCTGGAGAGGCCCCAATGTGAACTGCACTGACAGTTCCGGTTACACTGCTTTACACCATGCAGCCTTAAATGGACATAAGTAAGTGTCACTTATTTGGACTGGAATCCTGGGTATTTAGTTACATGTAATGAAGTTAATTACATCTGATGGTGTCTTTCTGTACTGTCATGAGACCACTATTAGGTGAATTTGGAGAGGCACCAGATGATAAGTTAAACTTGGTAGGAATGTTGTTGAGAATGATTGTGTGCACAGTATAAACTGAAAGAAATGCTGAAATAGTTAAATATCATGTAGGGAGAATGGAAGAAGTGACATAACCATATTATTCATTGTAGGTTTGGGGAAAGAAAAGGATAAAACCACTAGATAACACCTTTCTACCTCTTTTTGCCCCCCTGGAAGCTCCATTTAGTTTATTTAAAAATTTTAAAAAATGAATTCTTCTTTTTAGTTATGCATGACAGTATATATTTGATATATCTATACAAACATGGACCCTCCTGTCTCTTTTGGTATCTATCTGTACTCACCCACCAAATATTCACTAGGAGGGAAATCTTAATAGATTCCTGCTCTTATAAGCTCTTATATTTTCAGTGATTTTTTTCACTTTAAAAATCCTTCATGTTTTCTTAAATGCTTTCTCTTTGTCACCAATGATCATCTTTCTGGTTTTAAACTTCTCAACTCTAAAATTTTTTAAACTTATGGAATTATGTTTCAAATAATGTGATATTTGGGGAATGAAGGAATGTGTAACTATGAGCACCACTTTATATGCAGTATTTTAGCCAGGTAACCTAATGGTTTAGTCTTCTGAATGATTCAGATTTTTCTTTCATTTCCACTAGAAGAAAAATGTCCCTCTTAATGTATTTTTCCCTCCTCCCTATTTTTCCTTTTCACGAATGAGCCAAGTTATTTTTTTGAGATCTGGATTATTGTTTTTCTCTTTAGTGTTTTGAATGTGGTAATTACTGCTTTAAAAATGTAGTTAGTTTTTGTTCTCCATCCTAGAACATTTGTTTTATTCTGTGATTTAAGACACAAATAACTTAGTTTTACTTAATTTTAAGCTTAATGGTCATAAAACTCCTCACTGCAAGAAATATACTTTTTTTTGGTCATGATTTATCATCATGAAATTTTATTCTTTATACTTATTGAGTAAATCTAACATTATCAGTGTGTTTAAAGAATCAGCTATTTAATAAAATATTATAAACTTAATGTTTTTTATTTGGATGAGTATTGGAATTCCCAAAATAAATTTATTTTCATCCACTCCCTTTTTATATTATGTTATCTTATACCATCTAACTTAGAATGTTTGGGAGGCAAGGTATGGAGCTGGGTCTTTTTTTTTTTAACCTTATGTAGAATGGAAAATGTGTCTATATATCTAACTCTTTTAAGAGAAAATTATTATTTATTATTCTTTGTACCTGGGTCAACAGGAACAAAGACAAATTAAATTTGCCAAAGGCAGATTACTGATGGCTTCCTTGGCTGGCTATCTTAATTGTGGATTCAGGTAGTACCATATTTCTTAATTCTATTTAGGAAGATCAACTCTATCAAATATAATTAGCAGGATATCTTGGGCCTGATCACTTGAACTCTACTACTTTTCTTGTTCTTTCTCAGATTGGTATTATAAGCACTTCTCATTTTTCCCAAAATGGATTTTCAGTGAAGTGTTTAGGAAACATTATTGATTTGTACATGATAGCCATATGAAATTCTAGCCATTGAGATATGTTTTTTTTCCCCCTCATTGCATTTTTTTTTCTATTGGCAATGTAGAAAGTGAAGATAATTTAAGGGAACTGAATAGCAATCATTAAGAATATCATAGGGCTGGGGATGTGGCTCAAGTGGTAGCGCGCTCTCCTGGCATGCCTGGGTTCGATCCTCAGCACCACATACAAAACAAAGATGTTGTGTCCACCGAAAACTAAAAAATAAATATTAAAAAAATTCTCTCTCTCTCTCTCTCAAAAAAAAGAGTATGATTCAAAAAAAAAAAGAATATCATAAAGAGGGCTGGGGTTGTGGCTCTGCGATAGAATACTCACCTAGAACATGTGAAGCCCTAGGTTGGATCATCAGCATCACATAAAAATAAATAAATAAGGGTAATGTGTCCAACTACAACTAAAAAATATATACTAAAAAAAAGAATATCATGAAGAGATTGGAAATTTGACCAGCTATCTTTTAAGATCCTTTTTATTACAGATATTCCTCTGAAGATTTTCTTTACCTTTCTTTTTAATATATAAGATTTTACTTAGCGTCATCCTATAGGCATTGGAAAAAGCAGGAAAATTCTAATTTTATCTCCCTCTGTTAGTTGTATGACCTTAACCCATTTTCTTAATATTTCTAGGCCTCAGTTCAATGTATTGAATACATTCACTGTATATTCATCATTTTCCATGCAATTATAACATTTTTTTGATATTCTGTATTGTGTATTACTTGTGGCAAAGTTATCTGTTATGATGCTATAGTTCTGAAATTTGAATTTTAACGTATAGCATGTTTCTTGATTTTGCATATTTAAATTATTTGTGTATTTTTACAAGTAGATATAATTTATTCTGCCTGATCCCACTCACCTCCCACATTTTATAGATGGAGAAACAAGGCCATTTTTGGATAAATGACATAGTGGCCACTTATATAGTAAGGGGAGGAGCTATATCTGTAACCTAAGTACTGCTTGCGAAAGTCAAGACTTTTACTCATACTTTACATTAGCTGTCCTTTGTGTGTGAATTTTCTAGTTTTTCTGTATCACATAATGTATTTCTGGATTACTTTCCCTTATCATCAAGGGAACATACTTGTTCATGTGGAATAGTAATTTTAATATTGGCTTAAGTAAAAAAAAAAGATATATGAAGGAGAAAAGAATGTCATCAGAGACAGAGAAGGATGATATTTCTATTCTTTGTCTTTGCTTTTCTCACTTAGTATTAGTAATTAGTATTTGATTATGTTGTATTCTTTCCAAGTAAACCTTAGCAGACAACATAGAAACACATTAGTTTTCATGTTTGTTACTGTTGACCTTTGTATCCCTGAGCTCTACAATGCTTCCATAAACATTATAATTTCTAGGCTAAAGTTCTTGGAATCAGAGCTGGAAGGAATGAATGTTAGAGGCAGTGTGGGTTTTTCTTTTGAATTACTGGTTTTCCCACTGCCCCCAACATATAATTTAAGGCCTTCCTACTGTAAATTAAACCCAGTTCTTCCTATTTTGTACATTTTATTGAGAGTCCTTGTTTCTCCACACTAATTAATCCACAAATTAACAGCAGCAATTTGTACCTGAAATACATTATTTCATATTGGCAAATTTGTCTTCAAGTAACCAGATCTGGTTACAATAGAAAATGTACTCTATTGGTGATTTCCTGGGTTATTTATAATATAGATTAGAAAGTTATTATCATCAAATGTTAGAAAAAGTTATTTTGATAGATAGTATAGAGACATATCAGTTTTTTCTTTAAAATATGGAAGACTCATCGTGTCAAGTATTTCTACTACAAATGAGAATCCCTTAATTATCTTCTGAATAGCAATTGGCTAACCTTCCTCCATATGAAGATGATTTGCATTTATTTTGAAGTTTCTTGTAGTTTCCTAACAAGTATTTAGTTGTGATTTAAATATAGGGAATTTTGCTATTGAGGCAAAGAAATTTGATTATTGAACTTCCCAATTAATTTAATTTTGTTTAGTACTCTTAGAGAACTTCTTGAAAGACATTTCATATTAATCATAAATGTATTGATAGCTATAAGAAAAAAATGCAAATTAAATATAGAAGTGAAATCAATACTTTTAGAATTTCAGTTTCCCCCAGAATTTACATATATTAATTTAAAAAGCTGTAAAATATTGAAATTATTTAAATTGTATTATTATTATTTAATTTGATCTTTTTTTGCTCCTGGGAAATGGAATTATTTTTCCTGTGGTCCTATCACATTTACATTAGAATGTTAAAACATTTCATGGGTGGATCTGGTGGGGATTGAACCCATGGCTTCATACATGCCAAGCATGAACTCTACCATTGAGCTATTCCCCTACAGCATTTGCTTTTTTTTCAAATACTGGATATAAGAAAAATTGCTAGTGTATGTTTAAGACTTTAGGGATTATATTGCAGACATCAATCAGTATAATATTTCATGCCAAGTAACAAAGTATAATTAACATATTCATTTGTTGATACCTCTGAATAATATATGAAGTTTACACCAATAGAAATAAAAAAACCAATAATACTGAATTAGTATTCTAATACTGTATACCCTTCTAATTTAGATATTATAGAAAGTACCTGAAATTTAATTTGTTCTTAATGAAACTGGATAAAAAATTTTGATTTAATTCATACTATTTATGCATAAGAAAGATGAATGACTATTTATTGATTATATTTATGATTTGGTAAAACTGATAGGCATGTACTTGATCACATATAGTTATATTTCACAATTATATTTTCACACTAGAAATCTGAGCTCAACCAGTTCATTTGTTTATATTGCTAAATAAGACATAAAACTCAAATCAAATAAAACTTTATAAGAAAATTCAAATTTAAAAATAAATTTAATAAAACATTTAATAAAATAAATACATTAAAAAACTTAAAATATAGTATTTAGTTAGGATCTTATTGTTTGCCAAAGGCAGTTTTATAAACATACAGATTACCCTTTTCTGATATAGATATTAGTGGTAATACTATACAGTATAAGTGATCAGTAAGTAAATCAGTTTTTTAAATTGGCAATTTTTACTACATCATATATTCCTGATAAAGAATAATAATTTCATGTCACATATATTATTAAAAATATCAATAAAATTTGAGCCAAAGAACAAATGAAATTCTGAATGGTTTGAATCAGAGTAAAAGGAAATAGAGTTGATGATTCCATAAGTTTTTTTCTCTTTACCCTTTGAAAGTTGTATTATTCTGTTTTGCATTATTATAGTGAAGTTCTCGAGGCTGGGTAACTTTATAAAGAAAATAGGTTTATTTAGCTTTTAATTCTAGTCCAGAGTCAGGTCTTGCATCTGGTGATGACTGTCTTGTTGGGAGAGACCCAGGGTGGTATGGGGTACCACCACATGGCAACAGACAGGATGTAGTTGTATGGGTCTGTGTCTCTCTTCTGGTGTTATTTCATAAAGCCACCAGGATTCAATTATGGAGATTCTACTACCCTGATGGTCTTATCTAACCTTAACCACTTTCCAAAGGCTCCATCTCTAACTACCATAGTTATATTAGGTTTCCACCTTAATGCCTCAGAGGGAATTAAATTTCAACAATGAGCCCTGTGGGGACATGCTCAAACTTTACCTAAACACAACAAAAGTAAATACTGTATGGAAGTTTCAAAATTTTTATTTTATTTTCTTAGACAATAAGAAATTCTGACAGTTGTCTTTAACAATAATTTGGGGAAGTCTGTATTGTGGTAGGAAAAATTCTCCCTTTTAGATCCATGTATATTTAGTTTGATTAGTTTCCTTGAGCACTGTTTGACCTTTTAAATGCTGAAATATTTCTATTTAAAAAAATTACTAGAATTGTTCAACATTGCAATAACCTGCCATAGTAATAGCTTTTGGTTGTATTTAATTTTACAGTCTCATTTTTCTCATTTAATTATCATAACCGTTTGAGACTGGCAACAAGATATAATCTCTAAATTTTATATTAGCAATAGCTGAAGGAGAGAGAGAGATTATTTGCTCGCAGTAACCAAGTAGTAGAAAGTTGGGACTTCAAGCCAGATCCTCTGGGTTTTAGCTGCTTTTGATATTCATAAGTGTTGATTGAATCATCATTACTGCACTATAGGTATTTATTTATCTCAGAATGGGAGACCTTATATAACAACTCTTGTGTGGAAGAGAAATGAGAAGAACCACGTGAATTGGATGGTCTTCAAGTTTCCTTCTGGTTTTCAGATTCTCTTTTTTTTTAAAGTGATTTTCTATAAGCATTTTTCACTTCTGAAGGATTTTATTTTTACTTGAGACAAGTACTAATAGTTACATAGTGTTTTACTATTTATCAAGTGACTTGGGTAATTTAATATTCTTACTAGTCTTGAATAGTAGATATTCTACAATATCTTATACAGAAAAGAAAAAGTGAGACTAAATAAGTTTTTCAACATTAGGTAGTTTACATAGCTGGGACTCAAATCTAAGCCTTCTAAGTTTAGAGTCTATAAAATAATACAGGGTTTTAAGAAAACCATGCTAAGATAAAGTTTATTTCTTAATTCTCAAAAATCTTAATATTAGAAAAATAGACTCCTTGAAACCTTCTAAATATTTCTAGTAACATATTCACTGTTCCTTTATTATGATTTCATACATATAGCATCTAAGTCTAATGTTTAGGCCAGATTATTTGGATAGTGTTTTTACCATTTGCTAGTACTTTGTATTTTATCATATGATTTTTTTCTTTGGAGCTTTTATTCAAACTTCCTTCAACTTTTCTGATTTGTATCTTGTAGAGTCTGTATGAAAAAATTAAATTTAGTTTTTTTACATTTACTTTCTCCATTGGTGATTTGTTATATCAGAAATAACTTTAGTATACAATGTAATTGTATATTATGTCTTTCTATATTTATATGTGTGTGTCTAAGATTTTGCTTAGTGAATTTTTAGAATTTGCTTCTTAAATGCATTCAAACAAAAATACAGTATATGTTTAGGATTACTGCTGTTGAATGTTTTACACAAAGTTCAATGTAAGGTATACTAATAATTATCAATCAATTCTTCATGAAATTGAGTATTTATTTCAAGATTTTTAAAGAACCAGGTGGGGATTGAGTACAAAATCCTATAGTTGATTATATTGTGTGTTGAAATTACAGCAGTGGTGGAACTGATCTCTCAAATGAATTTTCCTCTAGAAATCATTTCTTGTGCTTAGAGAAGAAAGGGGAATACTAAAGTGGGAACATCACACATTCAAAGTATGTTGTATGCCATGACTGAAAATTTATTAATTTTTTAAACCAGAGCTTGTACTGTATCTAATTTGTTGGGCCTTTTACCTACTTGTCTCTCTCTTTTTTTAAAATTTTTGTCTTAAATCACTTATTACAGTTCTCTGTAGCATGATATATAAGTTCCCTTAATGTATCTCGGTATTATGGTAACTGTTTTTGTGTGCTAAATCTCAAATATGGGATATCTGGAAAGATCTTTTAAAAATAATGGAAGGAAGTATCATTTTAAAAATTTTACTTAACTCATTTGGTTAATGAGATAGGATATATTATGCCCAAATTCTGTTAAGTAGTTTCCTTGGGGTAGGGGACTTAGCTCAGTGATAGAGCACTTATCTAGCATGCACAAGGCCCTGGTTTGATCCCCAGCACTGAAAAATACTAAAACATAGTTTAATTGTGTGCACCACATATGTGGCAATGATTGTTTTCTAGGTAAGTAAAATAGCATGTTGAATAGGCAAACTCTTAAACTCAACATTATGTTTTAGCATGGTGATCAATATACTTTCATTAATATACTTTATTATACTTTCATTAATTATCTAATAATTATTCAATAAACTTTCTTTAATTATCTAATAAAATCTGTGTTGTTCAGCAGTATTTTCTTTTGTGCTCTTATTGTTATTTTTGTTCCTTCTTAGGGACATAGTTCTCAAACTACTTCAGTATGAGGCATCAACAAATGTGGCAGACAACAAAGGTTATTTTCCTATTCATCTGGCTGCCTGGAAAGGAGATGTGGAAATTGTGAAGATTCTTATTCATCATGGACCATCACATTCCAGAGTCAATGAACAGGTGCACTTGTCATATGTTTGCTCATGCTGTAATTTACTCTAGAGTTTTGCAAAGGCAGTCATATTGAAAAATTGATATTTTTATCTTTACTCAGCCAAAACTTTACATTGCTGCATTTCCTACAAGAGAAATTTGAAAAATTCTTTGGCATTTGGATGCATAGGCATTAAGTTGGGCATTTATGAATATATTTTGTTAACAAGAATATCCCACATAAAGGAAGTAGTTGCCTGCCTTATATAATCATCCATTTTATAGCTGTTGAATATTTAAAGATAGATCAGCATTCACATATGTAATGAGAATTAGAGTGTTCCTTAATAAAATCTTAAATGCTGAAACAATGATGATAGCTATCATTTGCATAGTGCTTTACCATTTACATAACATTTTCATAGTTAAGTACAGTATTTGAAAATCAAAATGCAAAATTCAGTGTATACAGTTGCTAGTCACATATTAAGTTAGGAATTTTCTGTATACACACACACACACACACACACACACACACACAAACACACACATATGCCTAGAGTAAGTTGAGCAGAATACCACAAAGCAGCAGTATGATTCTGACAAGTAAAATCATTATTTGTGAGAGAATACTATCTATACACATAGTGTACATTTTTTAAAAGTAATACCATTCTAAGTATTAAAATAGCTAATACCACAGATTTCAGAAAGTGAAATATGGTCTCCTAATACCGTATGATAACAAACATCTTGAGCTTTGCATGCCCCCTACTGTTCCTGTTTTGTAAAACTATATTTGAAAACCAGTATGTAGTCTAACAATTGAATTACAACGATGGCATTAAGCTGAAGGTTGGCAGCTGTCCAACATCAATGCAAGTAGGTTACTCTAGGGCAGGCACATCTAATAAAGTACAATTAACATTTTGTTCAAATGGATATAGACTTTTCAGACCTTTAACTGAAATTCTTACTAAAAAATAAAAATATAATACTAGCTATAAACAGTAAAGAGAAGAAAAATTATATTTTCTCAACCAAATGCAGTGTTGAAAGGACTAATCAGGAAAAAAACTACAGATATGGCTATCTTAATCATCATATCATGCCAAAAGGAATTTATGAGAATTCTATTCCTGAGAAAACCAAAAGTTAGATCATTTCTGGGATGAGCCATCTGGTGGTTATTCTTAAAATTGTCTGAATGACGCAGAGCAAACTTAAAATAATAAAATGGAATAACAATCAAAGGTTAAATAAGAGGATGTTAGTTAAAAAACAACAACAAGATGTTTAAAATCACATTAAATAAAAAAGCACATATTATTCATTTACATTTGAAGGTTGAAAATTTAAACAACATTTGGTAACTATTGGTATGTTTTAACGAGAAATACTTGTTTTGGGCAGGTAATATTGAATAGATCAATTCAATCATAACATTTATTTTTAAGGAGATTAGAATTCAAAGTTATTTTTTTAACTTCTATTCCTATATGTTAACTTCTATTCCTATATGTTGTAGACACTGTTGGCAACAAATTCAAATTTTTTGAGTTTTTTTTTTTTGTGTGTGTGTATGTGTGTATGTCTATAATGCTGATATAGTTCTCCCACTCCATGCTGTTTCTCCTAAAAGTTTCTGGTGTGGAATTTTATTTTTATAAGTAACTTGATTTTAGCTTTATTCCTTTTTTTCCCCTTCTGAATGGTATAGTAATGTTCTAGCTAATTATAAACCTTTTTGAATTTAAGCAACAGAAGGAAGGAATGAGAATGCCAATCAACATTTATAAGCCAAGCATGGTTCTAAGCACTTTATCTGCAAAGTGTAATTTAATTAATTCTCACAAGAATCTTTTGGAGTGGTATTATGATTCCCATTTTATAGATGAGCAATCAGGCTTAGTAAAGATAAATAACTTGTTTAAGACCTCCTATTACTGAGTGACCAAAACTGAGACTTGAACTCTGGACAGAGTCCAGAACTCCAGGGCCTTCCACAATAGCACATTGATGTTGTCATCCTAAATCCTATTAGTTATGGAGTGTTTACTATATGCCAAGCATTGTGCAAAATACTTCATCCATATTACCCTCCTGATGAGGTAAGAATTAATTATTATTCCTACTCTATATATGGAGATAGAATCTTAAAGAGATGGAGTAACTTACCCATAGTATCTTAGATGCTAAGAAATGAAGTCAGTATTTTCATTTTGTTTTCTTGTACCAGGGATTGAACCCAGGGGTGCTTAACCACTGAGCCACATCCCCAGACCTTCTTACGTTTTTATTTTGAGACAGGATCTCCTTAAGTTGTTTAGGGCCTTGCTAAGATGCTGAGACTAGCTTGAATTTACAATCCTCTGCCTCAGCCTACATAGTTCATGGGATTATGGGCATGGGCCACCACACCTGCCTACAGTCAGTATTTTTTTTTTTAAATTTTTTTGGTAGTTTTAGATGGACACAATGCCTTTATTTTATTTGTTTATTTTTATGTGGGGCTGAGGATTGAACCCAGTGCCTTGTGCATGCTAGGCAAGCGCTCTGCCACTGAGCTACAGTCAGTATTTTAACACAGCTTTTCTGATTCAAAGTCCAAACTCTTAACCAGTAATGTATTATGATACTGAAATTACTAATGATAGGGGTTCATTCTGATTTCTGGGATTTATCTTTGGTTTCTAATCCAGTAGATTCCTTTACCATGGGGGATACATTCTTAGACCCTAGTGATTGCTTGAAACCATAATACCAAACTGTTTTTTTTTTTCTCTAGCATGCCCTACAGCATTGCCACATAGTACCAGAATTCATCTGTCCTTTCATATTTTATATCTGGGTGTCTTCTTTGCAACACTTACTAAGTAAATAGGGCTTCTTGAACACAAGCTTTGTATTACCATGACAGTTAATCTGATGATTGAGATGTCTGCTAGGTGAGGCCAGGTAGCAGATAGAATATAGATACAATGTATAAAGGGATGATGATTCACTTCTTGGGAGGGATGGGGCAGAATGGCTCAAGATTTTACCACAATACTCAGAAAAGAGTGCAATTATAAACTTATGAATTATTTATTTCTGCAATTTTCTTTGTAAAGTTTTCAAATGCTGGTTGACTGCAAGTAACTGAAACTGCAGATGACAATCATGGATGGGGTAGGGGACCACTGTACAGCTTCCTTTAAAAATGGTTCTATCTCACATTTTAATATTTATAGTTTACAAAGCATTCCTTATGTTATATCTTTTGGTTAATAAACCACACAGCAAATTTCATAGAGAAGGTAATATTTTTATTGTATACAAATAAGATAGTTAGGTTTGGATAGATCAAGTGATTTATTATTGCTAATGAGTGACATATTAGCATTTCAATGTAGGTCCTGTTCACCCTTCTGTTCTGCATTAGAATTACTGGTTAATTTAGAGGAACATAATTTTGAATAAAGTGGGCTCTTCCCTGATTGTATCACATCCTTCCTATCTTTTGTCAATTGATTTCTAATATCATTGCTTTCTTCTTATGTTATACATGTCTGTGTACATTCCTCTTAATACTCCTTTCACTTTTGCTTTTCCTTTTGTATTCCTTTATTTTGACATTGGGGCAAAAGCTAGAGGATTCTTATTTCAAAACTACATTACTTTTGGCATTTATTGAAACCTGAACTCAAATTGTGTTAGATTTTGGACATGGGTAAGCAAGATCTTTTGGTAAATAGCTTTTTTCAGCCAGTTTGATTCTGCTACTCAGTGTCTGAAAGTGTCATAATTTTTCAGTGAACATCCAATTCATTATAAAAAATTCAAAACCTGTTAAGAATATTCTCTGTAGATATACTAGCAATTATTAATCAGTGCTTCATCACAGCTTATTTATTTCAAATTAGATGGTTTTTAAAAGACCACTAGTGAGTGTAGACATAAGTATTGTACAATCATTCCTTTGTAAAGATACCATAGTTATGGTCACTACTTATGTAGCAACCCAAGTATGTGTTGATCATGGATAAAAATCTATGAACATTTTCTCCTGAATAAGTCTTAAATGATTGAATAATTTCTCTCGAGATTTGAACAGTGTTAATTGGTGTTATTAGAAAAATTTTCAGTTTTGCTCTTCTGTTTTCCTAGGCTAAGGCCTCTGGAAAAGTAGAAATCTTTCAGAATTCTTACTTCATAAAAGGTCTTTCTGGAGCTGGAGTTGTCACTCAGTGGTAGAGTACTTGCTTAGCACATGCAAGGCACTGGGTTTGATTCTCAGCACTATATAAAAAAGTAAATAAAATAAAGGTATTTTGTTCATCCAAAACTAAAAAAAATTATCTTTCTCTGTTCTCAAAGAGGTAATGTAATTGGTAAAATGAGATTCAACCTCTTTCAGACCAAGGGGAAATTGGATTGGTCAGGAGGCATATATCTGTTTTATATTTTTATGTTATAAAGTAATTAGCTTTATTTTCTTATCAGATTTACAAAACTTAGCTAGATTAAAACAAATCAAGGAGTTTAAACTTGTATGTTGTTGGTCTCTGTGAGGAAGTATATTATTATAATAACACATTCAAACCAATGTAAGAATGATTCCCCACAAATGCTAGAAGAAAGATCTTCACCGGATTCCCATCTATCAGATCTTAGCTTTTCATTCACTATCTCTAGGGAGCTGTTTTTTTCCCTTGTGGATTTAACTTTCAAATGCCCTCTTTAGATACTAGAAACAGAGTAGTAAGAAGCCTTTCTTAGTATTTCTGCCACCTCCCCGTACCACTCTTCTTAAGTTTTCAAATCTTCCCTCTAAACTCTCAATTTACTTTCTGTATTCTTCTATCATCCAGAACAAGCCTGAGTAACTTTCTGGAACAATAAGTTGTGTTTTGTTTGAACCTTCACTGTTCTTTCATTTTGATAGTAACAGCTGTCTAAACAGGCACTTCCTACTAAGTTGGTATTTTTTGAGACAAAATCTGTAGAAATTTTGCTTTCAAATCACTAAATTCTAGCACCACTTCTTCTATGATATCATAGCAACATATAAACCAGCAGTATGGAATAGTGGAAAGAGCATGGGTTTTTGGATTTTGACAGATGGAAGTGCCCAAAGATCTCAATTCTGACTTTGTCTTGTAAACTTTTTGAATTTTAGTTTCCTCATTCATGCAATAGAGTTATTAATACCGGTCTTGTAAGATTGCTGTAAGAGTTAAGTGAGACAATATACAATAGTTTCTAGACACTTAGCAAATGGGAGTGGTGACAGTTGTTAATGAGGAAGGTGGTGTGTGTGATGTTTAAAAGCTCTATTAGGTCTGGGCTACTTGATTCAAGCCTCTTTCCATCACTAAATGGATGTATAAACAATGTCCCATTATTCAATGACTCAGTACCTTATTTTCTTCATTTTTAACATGAGAATAACGGTAATAGCAGTGTCTATTTCATAATAAGTATTAAGTGACTAAACATGAAATGCAACTGTTTCTGGTACCTAGTGTTAGCTATAATGTTGGCTCTGATGAAGGCAGCTGCTCTTTCTGTCATGATCCTAAATAGGATCATTCATTTTTGTGATTACAGTTTCTTGTTCATATTTCTCCCGAATGACCAACCCTTCCACCTTTGGACATACCCAGACCCCTTCTACTATGTTATCTGCCCAAATTGTCTGAAGGGTTGATCTGCCTTGCATGTGGGTTTGGTATTTTTATCTTGTCTTGCTAAATTTCTAGGAAAATCTCATTGATAGCAACCGAGACATTTATAAGCTGCACAGTAGTACTGTGATACTCCTGATAACCTGACTGGGCGTGGGTCTAGATCTACCTCTTTTCTGTAATTACGTTTCAGAAAGATAATATATTTTAGGGCCAGAGTGTCTTCATTCCTTTTTAATAAAAGGCAGTGATTTGTAATGTGGAAAATAAAATAAAACTTATTTTGGGAAACATTTCTATAAATCTTTCATAATCAAGAATTTACCATCTTAACTGTGTTTTGGAAAACCAGTCTATTACACATGTGTTATAATTGTTATATTAATCTCTTTTAACAAATGTCAAGGATGTGTGATGCATGGTGTAGAGAACAATGGCTATCTGGGCCCAGCAGGGCCAAGCTACTGACCAACATGGCTAAATCATTTATCATTCTTGGAAATTACAAGACGTGATGCAGGGAAAGGTTTGATGTTTTTGTATTAAAGTGATATAAAAACATTTTTATGTAACAAATTATGCATACTTTTGTTAAATATAAAATTCAGTTATATTTACTTAGTAAAATAGGTTAATCTAGGGCTGAGGATGTAGCTTAGTGGTATAATGCTTGCCTAGCATGCACATCAGTAAATCAATCAATCAGTAAGACTAGTCTTAAATATATATTTTCAAAATATCTTAGGTTTTAAATTGTGTGTTTAGATCTTAATAACAAATTGGATTTTTGGAAATGTGTCTTTTGTATCTTTGCTCCAACCAGAACAATGAAAATGAAACTGCCCTACACTGTGCAGCTCAGTATGGACACTCAGAAGTAGTTGCTGTCCTCCTAGAAGAGCTCACTGACCCTACGATTAGGAACAGCAAGCTTGAAACACCACTGGACCTGGCAGCACTCTATGGACGACTTAGAGTAGTCAAAATGATCATCAGTGCACACCCTAATTTAATGAGCTGCAACACTCGAAAGCACACACCGCTTCATCTTGCTGCTCGCAATGGTCACAAAGCAGTTGTACAGGTGCTGTTGGAAGCAGGAATGGATGTGAGCTGTCAAGTGAGTCTTCTTTTGGCTGTGCTTTAAAGGTGATGCTGCACCACATGCTTTTGGGAAATATTACGATATAAAGCATAGTCTCTAATCTCATGCTAATTGGAGAGCTGTAAATGTGAAAATTTATTACTGGATAGCAGTTGTTTATAGTATAATTAGTAATTGTTTCCTTTCTTTACTGTATAGCATATTAAAAATTCAGTCAAAGTGCAATTAATGAAAAAAAATTGTACTTTTGACATTTTTGAGTACACACTTTTGTTTAGCATGTTGACATACTTAGAATTGAATTGAATTGAATTGCGTTCTTACCACTATCCTGTGACATTGGAGATCTATTAATTTCCAGTTAAGAGATTAGGAATCAGAGTCAAAAATTTTAGACTCTTGCCTGAGGACACATAGCTGAAAAACCAGGATCTTTTTTCTTTTGTTTTTGGTACTAGTGATTGAACCCAGGAGTGCTTTACCATGAGACAAGACCTTAGCCTTTTAAATATTTTTATTTTGAAGCAGAGTCTTACTAAGTTGCTTAGGGCCTTGCTAAGTTGTTGAGGTTGGCTTTGAACTCACAATCCTCCTGCAGCCTTCTGAGCTGCTGGGATTATAGGCAACCACCACTATACCTGGCTAAAACTAGAATTTGAATTTAGACTTGCTGATTAAAGCTCAGCCTTCTTTCAAATATAATTTACTATTTATACATAAACAACAAAGGCAGGATTACTATGCCTATGGAGAGCCGGAAAAGAAAATAATTAAAGAAATGTGATTTGGGTTGAGCTTTGAAGGAAAAATAATGTTTAGATAGGTTTTCTGTCTTCACTAGGAAAGGGCAGCCTAATTTTATTATCTATCTTATGTTAGCCCCAGTGTCAAGGTTAGTCAGTTATTCTTTCTTTCTCTGTCTTTTCCTTCCCACTTTCCTTCTTTCTTTCTAACACTTTTTGCTTTTATGATAGCTTCTTGGCTTCCAAGTTTGTGGAAATATTCTAAGTTTCCAAAGACCATTTTGTTTCCTGTCAGTTGGCCTTCTCCTCTGAATATTACAAGTTATTGCTGCATTATGTACTATCCCAAATGTAATGTTTTAACACATTAACAATATATAGCTCATAATTCTGGGCTTGGCAATTTAGTTAACCTCAACTGTGTATCTCTGGATTCTCTTATGTATATTGGCTGGATTCTCTTATGTGTGCTGGATCCTTTGTGAGTCGGGTAAGTACCTCTATTCAGAGGTTGACTGGATATTGTCTGGGTGAACTTACCTTACATCTATTAAGATCCCTTAGGTCAGCTTTGTATCATTTACATGACAGTCATGTAGTTCTGAGAGAGAGAGAGAGAACACCATTGTACAAGGTTTCTTGAGGCCTAGACTTGGACCGAGCGTACCATCACTTCTGCCACATTTGAGTGGCAAAAGCAAGTCTTAAAGGCCATTCCAATTCAAGAAGTATAAAAATAAACTTTACCTTTATATTAGAAGAGGGTGTGAATTGTAAAAAGGGTATGAATTCCTACAAGGAATACATGTGGCTAGTTTTGTAAGCACTCCACATACTCAGGTGAACTTAATGCTGTGTTGTGGGTTTAGTTTTCCAAGGAACTTTTTAGCAGTTGAATCCTGTGTCTCCAGAGTTTTCTTTACTGAATTTCTGGAAATATTAGACCTTCAATTTAAAGTTTAAGGCTGCCATCCTAGGTCAGTTTTCTTTGGAGAATTGTCTCCATTATTTAGTTATTTGATATTTGTGATATCTTTTCTCTATTTGTTATTCAACTTCAGCAGCCTTGCAAGTAAGCACAACAATTTCCCTAGCCCTCATATTAAGGAAACAAAAAAGCCTTTCTTCAAAGCAGTATTGAAATTAGATACATGATTTCTTTTGTAGGTGACTCACAAAGGTACTTTCTTAATGGTTGTTCAATAATAAAAGCAAATGTTTATTGTCTAAGTATTATATTTTCTAGTATGGACTTACTGCTTTCATAATACTTTTGGGATATTTCTAAACTTGAATGCACAGATAGCTATATAACCAAAGATTTTCATTATGACTGAGTCAGTAAGCCTTCAGTCTATGGCCAAGATCTTTTCATGTTTTGAACTAGATGACATGATCAGAAGGAAAAAGTTTAAATTTGATTTTATAAATGTATATGGCTCATCTTTTTTCATTTAAAACATTATGTTTTGTGTTTTGGAGAATTAAAGTTAAAAAAAATTCTGTGCCAAATTTAGTGGGGGAGACAAAAAATTTGCAACAATTATCCTTATATACAACATTTAATAAATACCAAAACAGAGAGCAATGGAGATATAGGTGAAGAAAATACAGACTTTAAGAAGAACATGGGAAGACATTGATGGAAGTGATATTTTAAGAGGACCTTGAAACTCTAATCGTTGAATTTAGGTGTAATTTAACTTTCATATATGTATTATTTTGCTTAAGAGTGTGATAAAATATTGAATTTGAATGCTTTTAGATGAAGCATATAATTTCCAAGGTCCCAGTCTCTTTTACTCTTTTATATCTGTATATCATTTCTTTAGATTTTTTTTTTACTTGTTTCCTGACAGCATTTGAGTTTGTTACCCATACATCAGAGGAAAGGTCCCTTTCTGATCACTGATCACCTAATATATTCTGATCACTGTGGCTTCCTGCTCAGAAGCATCAGTACCTTGGTAGGAAGGGCAACCTTTTATGCTGCTAAAATAGATTTTATTTACTTTCACTTTGCAAAGAATTCTAGGAAGACTTGATAATGTATTTTAAAATGTATCTCAATGAGGTAAATTTCTCATCAGCTATAGTTAGACTTGGTTATGTTTTGTGTTTGTTATTGTTCCTTTGTTCATAGGAAGTGTTTTTGGGATAGGACCCAATGCCTTTTTTTGAGTGAATATTTAATTTTATTACTCAAATTAACTGTTGACAAATTTTCCCTATCAGATTGTGCAGAAATTTTTTAATATCATATAGTTGTTTGTTGATATTCTCACTGGTTAAGAGGGAGTAATACCAGCTAGTAATCTTAAACTGTTTTAATATTCATTAAATTGTTCTAGTTAACCAGCTGGATATTAGCAGTATCAAAAGTAATCCCACTTGGTAAATTATAATAATGTACTTTCATTCCTTTCATTCTTCAATTATGTTCAGGTTATTATGAATAAATTCTAAAAATTTTTGGATGACTTTGGAAGATCTCATCTTTTCCTTATAATAACATATTTTTAAGTGTGGCATTTGTGTTTGTATTTTCTCTTGAATTTTTGTTTTCTACATCATTTCCCAAATTGTTACATGTATTTGAACTAGTAGACAAAATAATTTAATTCATATTTAGGTGAATTTCATAAAGATTGTATATCCCTTATCTAAAATACTTTGGACCAGAGGTATTTCAGATTTTGGACATTTTTTTTCACTTTGGAAGAATTGAATTTTCATAATGAGATACTATTGAGTTATTATCTAAGCCTGAGATTCATTTATGTTTCATATACACCTTATACATATGGCTTGAAGGTAATTTTATATATTTTAAGGGCATCTGCATTTTTTAATAATTAGCACATATTAATTACACAAAATAATGGGCTTCTTTGTAACATTTTCATACATGCATGTAACATATTTTGATGGTATCTACCTACACCTGCATTTTGATTGTGACTTGTGACACGAGGTCAGATGTGGAATTTTCTATTTGTGGCATCATGTCAGCCCTTGAAAAGTTCCAGATTTGGAGCATTTCATATTTTGGTTTTTCAGATTAGTGATACTCAACCTGTATTATTATATTTACTTATGCACCCTATAATCTTAAAAGATATCTTAATAAACAAAATTAGATAAAGAAAATGTGGTATATATACTCAATGGATTTTTTTTTCAGCAATAAAGAAAAGTGAAATTACGTCATTTGCTGGTAAATGGTTGGGACTGGAGAATATCATGCTAAGTGAAATAAGCCAGACACAGAAAAGTCAAGAGTTGAATGTTTTCTCTCATATGAAGAAGCTGGAGAGAAAAGAGGATTTTTTTTTTTAAATGGAGATCTAATGAAAAGAGAAAACAGTTGAGTAGAAGGAGAGGATTAGGGGGAGGGAGGAGATATGGAAAAGGAGAGAAACTATGGAATTAAATTGACCAAGTTATGCTATATACATGTATGAATATATCATAATAAATTTCACATATATGTATAACTATAATGCACTCATTAAAAACAAATCAATGGAAGGAAGACCAAATAGAGGAGAAGAAGGGGATCAAGAAGAAGGAGGGAAAAAAGGGAAGGAGGAAAGTATGGGGATTGAAATGGAGTAAATTATGTTACATATATTTATGAATATGTCAAGATGAACCCTTCAATTGTATAACTATAATGCACTAATAAAGATCACTTAAAAATAAAATCAGTAGGCTTGAATTGACAATTTTCTTTTAAAGTTAGCAATTATTTCAATGGATTTTGAAGTCAGTATTCACTGTAGCATACAGAACAAGTCACTCAGTAATGCCAGTTTTTTCAAATGTTCCTACTTATAATGTGAGTGCTCACATTTTCCCCCAAGTAATTTTGAAAATTATTTAATTCATTTTTTTCACTAAAACCTAAAATACAAACAAATTCTATTGAAATTATCATTGAAATTATCATGATTGTACAACCTATCAGTTAAAAATTTTTCCAGAGTCTAGCTAACTCAGAAGCACTTAAGATAGAACTGATTTTTAACTGGGTCTGCTCCTATTTATTCATTGCCTTTAAGATCCTTTAAAGACAACCATGTTAACAATGAATTAACCTCACAGTTTGTGCTGACCAATTTCTATGTAACACCATTTTGGAAAGCTAAAAATTTAACTCAGATTGCTGAAATTTAGTTAGATATGATTTTCCATAAAACAACATATTTAGAAAGGCTTGTTTTTATATCAAATTCCTTTTCTCCATTATCTTGTGAAGCCATCCCAACT